TAGCAATGACTAGCAATCGTTCCTTGCCTAAAACCCTGAGCAGGATCGGCAAACGATTTTGAATCTACTACTGATATTCGTTATGATGAAAGGATGTTGCCGAAATAGCAACGCATCTCTCTGTCCATTCTCCTGGCTTTTCTACGAGGAATAAGGGTATTACCACTGTCTTCTCTATTCTTCTCTTCCTCTTCTTCCTCTTCTTCTTCTTCTTCCTCTACTTCTTCTTCTTCTCTTCTTCTCTTCCTCGCAAACGCATTTAACAACTTATGCAAGATCCCTCTTCAGCAATGAGGATGATAAATGTGTAAGGCAACAACACCAGCAGTCGAATATGTTCGTATTTTTCAGGCGATAACAAACTCGTGTAGCCGCTTTGTGGATAGGGAAGATCACGCACAACTGAGTCGTTCCGTCTTGGCGTTAAGAAAGGACCACTGTTGTTTGTCAAACTGATAATCACTTTTCACACTTTTAACAGCCGCTGAACTTTAATTTGAAAAAGAAACCCATACACATACCTAGTTTGTGACATGTCATCAGATCACGTTTTTAGATGTCCGAAATATTGCGCATAATCGACATCTTTGGAGACATTGACAACACAAGCTAGTCTTCGCCATAGCAAAACTGCGCGCGTCCCATAACATACGTGGTTGGGTACTGGCACGACCAAACAAATGCGGGTGCAAACGCTCCAGATCTACACGATAACGATCTTCTCTTATTGGGGGCATGACGGCCGAGTGGTTTGGGCATTTGGCTCCCACGTGAGGGGCCAGTGTACGAAGCCAGGCTGCGTCATGGTCCCTGAGCGCTAAGATGCCTTCTGCAGTCGCTGGCGCCTCGTAAAAGGGTACGCGACTACATGCGTCATGCTTCGTTTTTTGGCAGGTTCATCGCAAAAACAGCAGCCGCGTTTTCCGATGAATTCTTTCCTTCAGATGCAATATAATTGCGCATTTCGGATTTGTAGTATACCTAAAAGCCATCTGTTTTTTAACCTGTGGAACTCATACTGCTAATGCATCACGCGGGTCACATACTTTAGTTAGAATTTAGCAATTTTCGCACTCCTTTGCGATACCATGCAGCTGAAATTCGGATTGTTTCCAAGCTGACAACACAACGCATTTTACTTTTCCAAGGAGCTGGCCATATGTTTCATTACAATAAAGTAGATCGCTTCAAAAGCATGCGAATTTCAATACCCTACTGCTTTCTACCACCACCATTTCAATCTTTGCGTCACATGTCACTTGAGTGACATCGCGGCTTAGACATCGTGTACAAGCTATTGCCTTTGCGTTTACCTATTCACCATGACGCTCCACTCAGTTGGGTCCCCGCCCCATCTACCAGGGTGAGAGGCGAGAGTCGTACAGTTGCGGTGTCGTAAAGCCCCAATGACACGCAAGCATTCACTATGATGTTAATTATCTAAACATGCAACTTCCTGCTGATTTCGTTGTTGACGCACGTTAGTTGATCGGTCTCTGAAAAAGACAAATGTGCACGGTGTCCATACACAACCACCTACACCTAGCCTTTCACGATGCGGAAAGGACGATAGCTTGCGAGGCAAAAGAAGGATCTGAAAATAAAAGGCCGAAATCGGGGATATTTTGTGAGAGGGGGGGGGGGACAACAAGTTAGTTCCAGGGGCACCGTAGTGAAGCGCGGCCCCTCCCATGGAACAATCTTGGAATCTTGGAACATTGAGCAATCTAATAGAACGCCTAAAAAAAATCTGGAGCGTTTTTTCGTTGCTCTTCAGCTATGGGCCCTATATGGCTCGACCAGTGACCTGCGTCGCACGAGGCTGATGCGGCGGCGCGCTCGAATTCCACATTCGCTCACTGTTATCTGAAATGCGATGTTGGCGCCTGATTTCACCAGCACAGCCAATAGCATTGGGGCCTTTCGCACCGAATAGTTCCATAATTAGATATGCCATGTCTCAGGGACACGTAAAAAGTACAAACATGGATTGGAAATGCATTTCCGTGGTGTCAGATTTTAAGAACAGCTGCTAAGTTATGTTTATTTCAATGGACTAGTAACGTATTGGGACCTGGTTCAGTGTGGTGGAGACCCAGCCCAATATTGCGGGGCCCAGCCTAATGTCGCAGGGGCCCTGCCCAACATTAAGGTGAGGTGGGGGTGGAGGTGTCGCGGAGTGGGGTATCTAACAAGCCCCCCTCCCCCAAATAGATAAAACGTTCCACCTTTGATTCTGCCGTAGTTATTGCGCGACACTTTAGGAAAATCAGGTATGGTATGCCGGAGTGTGCAGACCGTAAAATCACCGCAGTCGGGATTACATTGTAAGCACTTATCCTCGCAAAGTTCGCCCGGGTCGACCGCTGGCTCACAGCTCGCCTGACGCCGGACAGTCCTGTCAGGCAGACGCCCCCCAAAGACGCGCTTACCCAAGAGCAGACAGCGGCCCGCTGGCGTTCCATAGTGATTTCCGACCCGTCGCGCCGTGCGAGCCTACACACACTGACCCGGGGCCAAGGTCGCCGGCCTCGCCTAGCCCCAGGCTCCCCACAGTGCACGGCACATTAGAGATGCAGGCTTCCGTCCCGATCGGACCCATGGGCCCGGGCGCCACTTCCTGCAATAGGAGCCGTCTGTCGTATCTGATGGGACTCTTGCTGGGACGCATCATAGATATTATAACATTCTCAAAGCATCAGTTCCCGCCTATGACTGATTCATACAATACGGATATTGCACACTCTGGTGCGGTGAGGTGCGAGACAAAATCTGCATACCCAGCCTGCCCTGCCGGCTGGTGAGGTCTCCGACTCGAGACCGAGCAGCAGAACTCCCGCGACAGACGGATGTAAAGGGCTGTGAACCTGGCTTCATCACAGGCCAAAGATCACATCACACGCATTTCATTACAGTACCCGACACTTTGCAGTAACTCAGCATTCATTTGTCGGGAGGCGTGGGTGTGTCTTGAATGTGTCGATGTTGTAGGATGGGAAGCACAGGAGGATGCGCAGCAGACGCAATGTACGTCAATGTCACGCCCTGTCGGCAAAATTTGAAGACTTGATGGGGAAAAACTCCGCACAGGTCGCTCGGTAACGCTCGTCGCTCAGCAAGCACTGGGAAAGCTTGACTACAGGGACTCCGGTAACCAGACAACAGTAAAAATTAGCCCCGCTGCACCAACGTTTTTACGCCGTCGCCTTACAAGGCCAGCGTGGCAAACTGACCAAACCAAACCCAGGGGAAATATGACACCGGAAAGCTGAATCGAACTGAATCGGATAGGCATGACTTAAACGGTGCAGATTGTGACGACTGACACAACAAGTCGTGCCATACGGGTCAAATCAACACTTGAGTAGTTAACACTTTAGCTACACTTTAGTTAGTACAGTTTATCTGGTTATCTCAGTAACTTCACATGACACAACAGTCAGGAAATGGCGTTAAATAGTTCCGAGAAAACCATTCAATGGGCAATGATCCGCATCGACAGGTGTGACCCGGGACATGTCGTGCCTGGTCAAAGAAACGAGGGTTATCGCTGCAGTGGTCCGTCCGACCGGCCAATTAAGAACGCAGTAAGCCGCACCAATGGAATAAACATTCTTAAAACGGTTTTCAGCGCCGTGCGATATGTCACAGTAAGGTTTAAATCGCATGGCCTTCAAACTGTGAAGGCGGCCACAAACATCAGGTTTGACCTGGTTTGAACTGGAATGACATGACCTTGCAAATTAAAACCAGAATGATAGAAATGGACTTCAAAGGTTTAACACGCGCCCGGGTGGCCGGCTACATACCCTTCGCTCGGGTGGGGGAATCAATTTGACCCCCTGCGATCAGGTTGGTCTCCAAAGAGCCCCCAGAGCCTATGCAACTGTTTCTAAGGAAAAGGCCAAAAGCCCATCTGAGGTCAGTGACCTTTTTTGACCTTTTGAGAGTCATGGTGATCAAAATCATACAAGACTGCTCTGAGTTTTGCATTTGAACAAGCGACAAAGATTGCGCTAGGCAGTATGTTTCTAAAACAAAATGTCGACCCGGATCATCTTAGGTCAATGACCTTTTCTGACTTCTAAAAAGTCAATGGAATATGTCTAATGCGGTTCCTGTTGTCAATAAATTCGAAATGAGCACTACAAACTATCGCTTGCGGCAAGCCCTAGAGTAATAAACCAGGTTGGTTGTGACCTTGGTCTGACCTTCATACCTGATCTTAAGTCAACGTAATTTGCTCATTCAATATTTATGGTGCCCAAGAAAGCATCTCAGAGATGTATGACTTCGTCAGTCTCTCCGTTATTGTATCAGATTGGACAATTCCCTAGAAATTGCCTTTGCTGAAATCATGGCCTGACTTTGACCAGCCATAGGTCAGCGACCTTCTAAGCTACATCCAAATTTTTGATGTCAAACGATCCGCTATTCAGTTGTCTACATCTATGCAAAATTTGGCGCGGCTGCGCCGCGTCGTTCGGGAACCATTCTGGAAAAGACCTTCTGCGAGGTCAATTTGACCCCCACCCGAGCGCGCGTTAAGGTAGGACCACAGCGTAGAAAATCCCTTTAAGGTGCATTTTCTGAGAAAAATAAACGCCATTCAACTTTTGAGCGGAGTGTGACCAACAGGATCTGACAAAAAGGTCTTAAACTGTCCAGGTCAGAGGCTTAGCATTTTAACGGCATGTGTACAGCTGATGTAAACTAACCTGACCAAAACCCAAGCAGCACGCCCACAACCGTTCATCTTAAGGGCCTCGCGCGCGGCGGCGACGGCACGTGGCAGGCAAGATAGTCACCTGGCTTCACCAAACTGCTCCAATCCTGAAAAATCGCGCCAGCGCGACCTGGCGAACTTACACGGGAGAGCTCTCATGCCGACAGTTGTCGACCTTCCGTACACCACGCGGTGTCGTAAGCGACCTTATCAAGCACATATTGTTTATATTGTCAATGCTCGGCGTTTCAAGCTGCGCTCATGAACACGAGTGAACCAGGAGCTCAAAGCCTTTCTTGCTTACATCATGTTAACACGGTAACCGAATGGCATGCAATGAACGGCACCTGATTGCAAGCAAACCATTGCAAATGGTTCAGCCGGCAGGAATGAGCATTCCTGTGCAAGCCCTTATACGACACCAATGTTAAAACACCAAAACATGGGTTGCGTAAGAGCGGCAGGTGGGGTATTGTTGCTTGCAGTAACAGAAAGCAATAATATTCCGAAAAGCATACTGATCGAGGCCACCGTTTTAGCTGGGTGGGGCACAATATTTTGTGTAGTGATGGAGCTGACCAGCAGTCGTGTCGCACGTAACACAAACGGATACCCTGCCACTCCTAAGACATGGCGTCCACGAGCCCTTGCAGGTCGGTCATCACACGAGGCCCAGTCCGCGCGTGAGTCGCACGTCACCCCGCGTCGTTGCACAGACCACTCCACGACATCTCGGCGGGGGCCACCGCTGGTCAGTGCGCAGCAAGTGTGCTCCCGTTAATCCTGATGGCTGCCAGGGGCTCGCAGAAAGCCCTCCGGGAACGCAAGCGACAGCCCACCCAGCAACAGGGAGCAGCCAGCGCACGAGCTGCTCCTTTTTCGCAGCTGACTCTGCGGCTACGTTCGGCCGCTTTAGCGAGAGCAGCTCCAGTGAGGCATCTGATCCAGTACCGTTGCGCCACCACTGGTCCAAACACACCTTGTCACACAGCCCGTCCAGTCACCACAGCGCAGCCCATCACAGCTCGTCCCACCGGCGCTCGTCCAGCGCCTGCGCGTCCGCAGACTCGGCGTCCGGGAAGGCCAGCCGCTCCGGCTCCGGGTACTGGGGCCGCTCTACCACGCCCGCGCCGAACTTCAGCTCCAGAAACTCGCGCGCCCGGTTCGGCACCGTCACGTTCACGCCCACGAACGGCATCGTCTCCAGCGGCCGCAGGAAGTGCTCGGGGAACTCGCAGTCCTGCCGGTGCGACGCGAACCACGTGTCCTTGGTCATGGTGCCGTTCCGCGAGTAGAACGGGAACACGTCAACATGTACGCGGTTGGCAGCGCTGTACTGCACGCGGAAGAAGCGGCCCTCCGGCGCCTTCTCCCAGATGAAGCCCTGCTCGTCGCGCACAGGCGCCTTGGCGGCGGCGTGGAGTTGAGCGCATGACGGCACGTCTTCCAGGTAGACGCCCACGTCCACGTCCGAGTCCCAGGGGATCACATCTCCGGTGCGCACCGCACCCAGCAGGCTGCCGCCCTCCAGCCAGAAGCGCGCGCCGCACGCGGTCAGCGCGGCGAACACGTGGCGCGCGGTGCGGCGTAGGTGGCGCAGGCAGCAGGGCGGTGTCCAGCGGCCGCGATACAGGTAGTCCGGCGTGTCGCCGGCCAGGGAGGCGAAGCAGCGCGCCGTGTCGCGCGTGCAGCCGAACCAGCGCGAGCGGCCGGCGCGCGTCACACGCTTCACCTCGAACTGCCGGTAGAACTGGGCGCGCCGGTGGTCGCGGTACTGGCGCAGCTTGTCCCGCTGCCGCTGCGTCAGCGCGGACGGTGTCGGCGTCAGCATGACCTCGTCGCTGATGACCACCTACGGACAAGGGAACTGTGTAGGCTGGTGCCAGAGGCGGAATGAGCGGGATACATGACTGACTGGCATGGGCAGAATGTGCCGTAGACCTCGCAGGGGCGTACCGCAGATAATCAGCGTCGAGGAACGTCGGGCTGCCCTGCTGTATTCATTGACTGACAACTCCACTGGGAAACTCGTACCAATTATATATTTGACACTCGGGGTACTTCAGGATTCATCAGCATCACCACGTCTTTGCTTATCAAGGCAATGGTGGTATTATTTATGTTAGTTTCACGTCGCTCCCAAAGACAATATGCGCAATGCACCATTACAGATATGACTATCATTGAAGCTTGGATGGTCAGCCGTGACGCTCCAGGAAATGGTCAAAATTTCATCACCCACCAACATCTCTTGGCGCCACAACATCATCCACTCATCATTACAGCTGCTAGCTATTATCCGCTGTTATCAGCATAAGCTGTTATCACACAGAGGCAACGCGGTACCCACCTGTAGCCCGGCCCGGGCCGTCTGCACGTACAGACACTCGGGCGCCGGCCGGCAAAATGGGTCGGCCAGCCGCCAGAGCAGCTCAGCCGGCAGCAACAGGCCGTGCGGCCCGCTGACTCCGTCACAGCGCCGGCCCCCGGCAGCCGCATACTCCAGTGTCCAGCGGCGCGCGTCCAGCCGCACGCGCTCGCACGCCAGCGCACCAGCCGGCAACGCCACCAGCGCCGCCTGCCGGCCGCTCACCAGCGCCGCCAGCCGGGCGAAGTCCGAAACAGCTACGAAGTCGGGCAGCAGGAGCACGTGCGTAGTGTTGACGAGGCCGCGGTGCAGGCGCTCCAGCACGGGAACGTCGATGGAAGGAGAGGTGGTGTGAAGTAGGCAGGGGGGGTGCCAACTTCAGTGGCGGGTATGGGGGGAACTCGCTGACGACCAGCACTGAGGAGAACTGCTTGGCAAGCTCGGCACATGTTGAGGAAATATTGTTAGCAAAATGTTCAAATTCTACCAGCACAGGGGTGATACTTGCATGGTGCTCGCCAAAAATCCAGTGTGTGGAACAGGAATATAAGATGAGAATACCAATCACTACCAAAATTCCCCAGGAAAATTGTGACAGGGCCATATCTGAAATGAGAGGAAATTTGAGGATACATTTATCAAAAGCCACTCAGAATGACAAGTCAGGTTAGGTCATATTGCTCCAGTAGCTTGTACAAGTCATCAGGATGTCACACTTTAATCTCAATGACATCCATAACATGTTCATGCTTAGATGACAACATCCTACAAATGGGCTCATGGTATGCTAAAAATGAGCTCATCATTATCAAGGCAGAGGGCAAACCATCTGGATAGGATTAAAAAGATCCAGACTAAGGGGAAAGAATTTGGCTCTACAGTTGCAAACAGCATACAAACCCTGCAACTGTAGCATAACACCTGACACTGTGCTGTGATTTGTAAGTTAAATGACCATTAGCCAAATCTGACCCTTGAAAACAATAATGCATTTTGTATAACAACAATTTTCTAAAATGAATAAATGCTAAAAATACCTACACACCATGCCAGAGGGCAAGTACCAACACGGATCACGCAATTCCCCCGCACGTACATTCCCAACAATACTGAATGGCTACCTTAATAAATTTATCACCAAGTGAGAACAACACACGATAAAAATAATGCAATATTTTTAAGGCATATCTTACGGTTCGGATTGGGACGCTCCTTAAAAACCAATCACCCATACTGCAATGGCAGTCAGATGTCGGGGCACAGTTTGTGTGGCCTCGGTTCGTAATCCAGATGTACTGGTTAGGGCCTTGGTACCTTGCTTGGTACTAGTGGGGTCTAAAAAGCCGGCGTGTGACGCGGACGCGCAGGTTTTCCGAAACGGCTCGTCCGATCACCTTGAAGCCTTCGCCAATCAATTGCAACGTGCAACGGGGTGAGTCATATGAGGAATATCGAGGTCTGACCTGAGGTCAAACACCTCAGAAACGCGAAGGGAAAATTTTACATGCAAATGCAGATAGCTTAGATTTCAGAGGCTACCGAACCGATCACTGTAAAACCTTCATCATTAGATGCCCCATACCAGGTAACCCGTGCGGTTTGAAATTTGGTGACCCTAGGTCAGGTCGAAAGTCATCAGATTTTATGAACTCCAAAATTCTTGCTTGCAGACCACTCATAGGTCAGAACCTACCAGCAGTGATTGGTTTGGTAGGTTCTGAGCAGTAAGTAGTCTGCAAGCAAGAATTTTGGACTGTGAAACTTGATGACTTTTGACCTGAACTAGGGTCACCAAATTGGGAACTACAAGAGGCAATCAGGTATGGGTGACCCAGTGGTACAGTCTTGGCACTGCTCAGTCTGATAGGTTCTGAGCTGTAAGTTGCCTGCAAGGAAGAACTTTGGACTTTGTGAGCTTTGGCAACTTTTGACCTGACCTAGGGTCACCAAATTTAGGTTTGCAAGTGGGCATCAGGTGTGCGGCATACAATGGTGAACATTTGGCAGTGATTGGTCTGGTAGGCTGTGAGCTGCAAGTTGTCTGCAAGCAAGAATTTTGGACTTTGTTAAGTTTAATTACTTTTGTCCTGACCTAGGGTCACCAAATATTGGAACTGCAACAGAAAGTCAGGTATGGGTCATCCAGTGGTTAAGGTTTCACAGTGTTTCGCTTCATGTTTTTGAGGTGTTTGACCTCAGATCAGGTCTCGATATTGCCTCCCCATGACTCACCTGATTGCGTGGAGTAGATTGGTGAAGGTTTCAAGGCAATTAGAGGAACCGTTACAGAAGATTTGTGTGTCGGAGTCATATGCTGGTTTTTTAGGCCTTGCCAGATATTGTAGCCCATTGAACCTGTGCTGGTGGGCAGCAGTGAAACTGGGCACTGAGTGCATTGAGAGGAAAGATTATGTGTGGTATGACAGAAATATTTGGCTGAAAAGTATCCCTTATTTAGTTGTGTGAGTATGGCATACATGGTGGTAGCCAAAAGCTACCACCCTAGACCTGACCTTTTTGGCTGCCACCCTAGACCTGTTGTATGTGCTTAGGTCATGGTTACAATTCTGCACTATGCAATAGAAGCAAATTGATAGATTGCTTTTGAACAAGTGTAACAACCAAAGTTAGCATGATTATCTTCCCTACCACCTTAGCATTGTTGACCAAGTGACAAGTCACAGTGGCAGCAGATGCTCTAGGGGATGGTTTAGCCTTTTTCTCCCAAGGACTGTGGAGTAAATACACATATTTTGTTGCTTATGTACATGCAATGCATTGCTGTTATGGTGTAACTGTGGTAAGCATGGGAGACAGCCATTCCCTAGCCACAATTAATTTACCACAATTAGGATGATGTGGTTCTGAGCAAGTTGAGGGCTGTCCTTTCACATTGGCTTGAATCAATGGTAAAAAACTGAGTTTGCATTCAAAGGCATGAAGCTTTTATGTACATGTCAGCATTACTCAGTGTTCAGGCTAAATGACATACCTTTCCAGTTTGCTGGATGCTCCTGTTATTCAGTGACAATACCATTACCATTTTGTTTCCTTTCCAGGCTGAGCCATCATATGGTCTGAAGAGACAGGCAGAGCTGCTTTGGGCTGGCTGCAGCAGACACCTGCCCTGCCCTGCCCTGCCCTGCCCTGCCCTGCCCTGCCCTGCCCTGCCCTGCCCTGCCCTGCCCTGCCCTGCCTGCCCTGCCCTTCCCTGTCCTGATCTGACCTGACTGTGCTGACCTGACCTGACCTGACCTGACCCCAGCTGAGGCATCATGGACACAGACCTGCAAGGGGAGCTGGAGGCAGCGCCACCTGCCGAGCGGCCGCGCAGCAAGGTGGCGCTGGTGATGGCCTCCATCACGGGCGCCGCCGCCGTCGGCCTTACCGTTGTCAGCTGGCCCTTCGTGGCGCCCGCCTTCAGAAAGGTGACGTCGCTGACGACCGCTCGGTCGCCGATCGGTTAGGAGTGGTCATATCTCCCAGACAGCCAGAGGAATAGCTTGTGATTTCACCCATTTATGATATCCCTAAGCATTGAAAGTTGGAATCAAGTGCCACAAAACTATCGCATGGCCACTGTGTACGGGACATGTCCCAGCAGGTGGGCTACTCCCCATACCATCAGTTGCCTTTCGCTAGGGGCTGCGGGCTCGCGCATACCAGCCCTGCACTGTCCGTCCCCTCTTCAAGCTCTTGTGACCGGGTCTTTGACCATGTGTGACGCTGCGGACCGTGTGTGACCTAGCCGACCATGCGTGACCCAGCTAACTATGTAGGACCCAGCTGACTGTGTGCGACCCAGCTGGCCATGTGTGACCCAGCTGGCCATGTGGGACCCAGCTGGCCATGTGGGACCCAGCTGACCATGTGGGACCCAGCTGACCGTTTGTAGCCTGGCTGACCGTGTGTGACCCAGCTGACCGTGTGTGACGCTGCCTGGTTGCAGGTGTGTTTGCCGTACGTGCCGGCCACCACGGAGCAGGTGATGAACGTGCTGCGCGTGCTCAAGGGTCGCTCCGGCCCGCTGGTCGACCTCGGCAGTGGCGACGGCAGAATCGTGAGTCTCCACCGCTCTGGGGGCGAAGCAGTGACTCCGTACGCTCTGACTGCCTGGGTTGCCGCTGGCTGGGTGTGGCCGTGTTACGATGGCGTCGCGGCGAGGCGACGGTCGGTGGCGCCGGGTCGGCAGCCGTGCGGTCCAGACGGCGGCTGACGGCGGCCCCGACGTCGCTGGGAGCCGCGCGGCGGTGTCTGCGGCCGTCGTCGTCCTCTCTTGGGAATGGCCTGTCCTGTACTGCGGTGGTCGCACGGCCCGCCAGTGCAGGTCCATTAGCCGTCGCACTGCCAGGACTGGATTATTTAATGACGGGATGTTTCCGTGATCACCTGGTGTCCGTGCCGCACGATCGGACTGGGGCGCGGCTTTGTGCGCGCTAGGACATGCACGCCGCATAGAAGCGTGGCGCGACGGCAGCTGGATGGATGAACGGTATGCTCGCTGACGGTGGGGCTCCAAGGAAATGGCGGCGGTGATGACATTTCACACCCACCGTGCATGCAAACCAACATCGTTCGAAAGTCTTTTTGTCGGCTTTTGGCTCCACGTGAGAAGAATCACGCGCTCCTCTTGCCCGTGACTTTCCGGGCCGTCGCTGTGGCCGCTTGTCAGTCCGACCAGAGAGTTATATCGCGTCACCGTGCCCTGCCTGGCAACCGGCCACTACGGCTGAGCGAGGTAGCGGGCAGGTCTGGACGTCAGGGAGCAACTATATCGCGTCCCAGTACCCTGCCTGGCAACCGGCCACCACCGCTGACCGAGGTAGCGAGCAGGTCTGGACGTCAAGGGGCAGCTAGTCTGGTGCTGTCTTCGGGGCAGAGGTTAACCTGCTCCACATCCAGTCTTTCCCACTTATGATCGACTGAAGAATGGAACAGCTGGTGTCTCGTGTAACCCGCAGCGTCCATGTGACGCATGTGAACCGCCATTGATGGCGTCAGTGATGAGGCGGGGACAGTGACAGCGCCCCGTCACTGGCGGCGGCTCGCCGGGCCAGGCCTGTCCCGGTGACACCACAGCCGGAGCTAGGAGGTCCCCTCCGGCTCCGGCCGCCCGGCGCATCCTGCGCTGGAGCCCGCTGTCCTGCGCTGGAGCCGGCTGTCCTGCGCTGGAGCCCGGCATGTCCTGCGTTGGAGCCCGGCATGTTCTGTGCTGGAGCCCGGCATGTCCTGCGCTGGAGCCCGGCATGTCCTGCGCAGGAGCCCGCTGTCCTGCGCTGGAGCCCGCTGTCCTGCGCTGGAGCCCGCTGTCCTGCGCTGGAGCCCGCTGTCCTGCGCTGGAGCCCGCTGTCCTGCGCTGGAGCCCGCTGTCCTGCGCTGGAGCCCGGCCCGAGGGCATGGCTCGGCGCGAGCTGTCTGGCGCGGCAGACATTAACATGCGTATCGGCGTGCTGGGCCTCGGCCGGACGGGGGCGAGTCGGGCCTGCTGGAGTGCGTGACGGGTTGGTGTGGCGCAGTGTTCCACCATCTGCTTTGTTGAGCTTCTGTCTGTAGCCTGGCGTGGACGAATTCACGCCAGAGGTGCCGTGAGGGGGGGGGGGGGGATATAACTCGTCCTCGATGGGAACAGCATCCTAATCACAAACCTCTGGCGACCAGGCCAAATCGTCATTACGTATGCTGACTACGGCGGCCACGCGGGTGGCTGTTCCAGGCGATTTGCGTGAACCGTGTAGCCAGGCAAGAAATAACCCAGCTAGCATTAACTTCGACTTCCACGCGGAGCCCCAGGGTGGAGCTGTAGCCTCCGGGCGGCAATGTTGTTACGGTAGAAACTGGCACCTCATAACAGGGTGTGCAATGGCCCTGCCCACGCGCCCAGAAAACGAGAGTGTGTCGCCGGCATTCCGTGCTGCTTTATCGGCGGTAGCTTATTCGTCGACTGCATCTGCAGTGCCATGCGGGGTCGTGCCGTGCTGTGCAGTGCCGTGCCCGTGCTGTGCAGTGCCACGCTGTGCATTGCAGTGCTGTGCAGTGCCGTGCTGTTCTGTGCCGTGCTGTGCTGTGCAGTGCCGTGCTGTGCGGTGCCGTGTTGTGCAGTGCTATCCAGTGCTGTGCTGTGCAATGCAGTGCCGTGCTGTGCTGTGCAGTGCTATCTAGTGCCGTGCTGTCCAGTGCTGTGCCGTGCCGTGCCGTGCCGCGCCGTGCCGTGCCGTGCTGTCCATTGCCGTGCTGTGCTGTGGAGTGCCGCGGTGTGCAGTGCCGTGCTATGCTGTCCGGTGCCGTGCCGTGCCGTGCCGTGCCGTGCTGTGCTGTGCCGTACCGTGCAACACCGTGGTCGCGCAGCTCCGTGTCTCAGCGCCGCCCTGTTTACCGTGGTCGCGCAGCTTCGTGTCTCAGAGCCGCCCTGTTTACCGTGCGGCCCCCCGCTGTCTGCCTCGGCCGTGCCGCTTCGCTCACCAACGGAAAACAACAACCGTTGGCGCCGGCTCCGAAAAACGCGGCGACAAATCATATCTCCTATCTCGACCAACGGTGTAGGAAAGTTCACTGGTGGCGGTCAAAACTTCCTTGCAGGCGGGCGGCCTAGGATAGACTTTTCAACCAGTTATGTTCTCAACGTACCTCACGTGAAATATGGACGGTTCAGATTTGCCCAGTGAAGTTCTGGGACGCTCATAACCCTGGCAGAACTTGTGGCTATGCTCTATGGGCGTTTTGGAGCGACAACTTCGGCGGTGAGCGATGAGGACATCGATGTCATCTGACCTCCGATCAGCCTGACGTCTGGCCGCCCGTCATGACCTCCGGCCGTGACTTACCGCTCAATCACACCTTGAAAGCCAGCCTGACCGTATCTGATCCGGGAACGGAGCCGTTCCTCTTGCGAGACGGCCGGTGGCACGCGGGCGTCGGGCCGCGGCTCGGCCGGCTGGTGCGCGCGGCTGGTCAGCTCGTCTGTCAGTTGCTGGACGCTAGTCCCGCCGCCGGGGACGCCGAGCTATCTTCGGATGGAGTTGTGACCGAGTGCGTCCCGCCGCGAGCGGAGCGATGGTGTTGCCAGCCGGGCCTGCGTCGTGTTCGCTCAGGGGGCCGGTCGAGGCAGTGATGAGGTCGTGTTGGTTTGTGTCTGCGTGCTCTTTTCAGCTGTAGGAATGTGTTTTCGGGACGTGCCGGTACTGCCTTCAGCAGCACAATCCCGTCTGGCTGTGAGACGCGGTGGAGTCAGATTGGGGCCAGAGTTGAGTGTCAGGGCGGAGCAGCGAATCTGGTGACCTATTGCTCCATGCGTGCAGCGTGGGTGACGCAGCGGCGGTGGAAATTACCGTATCGTAATGATTCCATTGAATGTAGAGGAACATGAGAATAACCTCATGCTCGTGATGAAATAAAAAAGTCCAGAAAAAGTGTGCAACATTCGATGTCATTGAACGCAGGGAGCTCCGTGAGGTCCTCCACTCGTGTCGTGCTGTTACCTTACTAACCGGCGGCGTACCAGGCCCATCGTCGTCACATCAATAGTGCTGTGGCAACGCTCGCATCGTAATAGCTGCATTTCAGTGTGGGCACGACGAAACTGCGCGGAAGCCCACAGGCCTCCTCGAAGCAATTAGCGTCCACAGCGATGCCGGAGTTGTGCAATATCGCCCGTTGCTAAATGGTTGCATGCTCAGTCCCTGAAGTCTGGGATTTGACCTGCAGGCATTCGCGAGGTCAGCCTAATGTATCGCTCACACGTTATGGACCGTGGCGGGTGGGCAGCAATTTTGAACTCATGTCTTGTTTATGCGGTGACATGGCCTCTATTCTGAGAGCCCGATTACGCTAATTCAGCCCTTAACAATTTTGCGAGATCGGTCCCGCACAGGCCGGCCGGACTATCTGCGGCCAGCAGGCGTCAGCGAAA